ACATATCTTTTTTTTTAATAGTCTGCAGGACACATGTACTAGCCAGAGAGACAGAGAGAGGGGGAAATGAGAAAATATCCTCAGATGGGATGGCCATGCCACAATCTCTCTTCCACCTTTCTCCTCTCAAGACTTTGAGTATACGCACATACCCGGAGTGTTTTTCAAGCCACTGCTCCCAGTAAGCCAGATGGGATCTAGGTGCCTTCACCACCACACCACTGGCTGGCCCTACATAATCTTTGTCAAGTAATATGCACAACTCATTCCAGGTCAAGTTTTAGAAGACATTTAAAGTTCACATCTGGGTCAGCTGGTAGTGGCTGGAACCCACAGGGCTGACTGCTGCATGGTACAAGTCCCAGACCTATAGCTTGAAAAACACACCAGGTGGGGACCAGCAGTTAGCGTAATGGCTATGTGGCTGGATTCCCCCGGAGTGGACCGCGGTTCGCGTTCCAGACCTGGTGGCTTTAAACTCACGCTGGGCGCATGTGCGTGTGTGCCCAAGATCCCGAGAGGAGAATGGAGGAGAAGGGACTGTGGCATGGCCATTTCCACTGGGGGATGATTTCTGGCTTTCTGTCTCTCTGTCTCTCTCTGTCTATCTGGCGAGCGCCCACGCTGTATAGCAAAATAACCTCTCCAAAAAAAAAAAAAAAAACCAGGCACATTTGCATGCATACACAAAATCCCAAGAGGAGAAATTGAGAAAAAAGGATTGTGGCGTTACCATCCCCCCACTGGAGGTGTTTTCTCACTTTCTCTCTTTATCTCTCTCCAGCAAGCACACACCCCTTTTTGGCAAAATTAATGAAAAAAAAAAAAAAAGATACAAAAATAGAAGTTCATGGGATCAGTAGATGGCATAATGTTTACATTACTGGACTCCAACATGGTCGATAGCGCTTCAAATCCCAGACCTGGAGGCTTGAACTCACTCTGGGCTCACATCCTGAGAAGAGATTTTGGTGTGTCCTTTCCCCCTGGGGGGTGATTTCTTGCTTCTCTCTCTAGTGAGCGCCTTACAGCAAAAATCTCTCAAAAAAAAAAACAAAAAACTCGTTTTTGCTGTATGATACACCACTCCCAGAGGGGTAAGGAACATGCAGAAAGACAGAGAAAAAAAGTGGGAAATCGCCATGCCCTCCCGAGGGACAGCCACACTGCAATCCCTTCTCCTCTACCTTCCTCTTGGGATTTTGGGCACATATGCATTCACTGTTTTCTTTGAACCTTCCTGATCGGGGCTCAAACTGTGTGGTGGGATCCAGCGGACTTACCCACCGTGCCACAAACTGGCCCTCAATCTGTACGTTTCTGAAATGAAATTCCCGGAAAGAGCTAATAGGACATGACAGAACAGGAAAAGATGTAACCAAGTTTAACTTAACCAAGTCAATTAAAAGTTGAATGAACGTCTATCACAAATCAGGGTAGAAGCTCATAAGAAGGTCTATTCCTTGGGGCCAACAGGTGGAGTAGTGGTTAGGAGCACTGGACTCCCACATGGCTGACCACAGTTCAAGTCTCAGGCCTGGCAACTTGTTTTCTCACCATCTCCCCCCCTCCCCATCCTCTCTGGTAGAATTAAAATAAATAAATAAAGTTAAATAAAAATAATTATTTTTAAAAAAGAAGCTCTTGGGACCAGCAGATGGCATAATAGATACATTGCTGGACTCCCATGTAGTCAATCATGGTTCAAGTCCCAGACCTGGTGGCTTAAACTCACGCCAGACACGTGTGTGTGCGTGTCCAAGATCCCAAGAGGAGAATGGAGAAGGGACTGCAGCATGGCCGTGCCCCCTGGGGGGTGATTTCTCGCTTTCTGTCTTTCTGTCCCTCTCTGTCTTTCCGGTGAGCACATGCACCCTATAGAAAAAAGTCTCAAAAAACAAACAAACAAACAACTCTATCCAGGGCTAGCCTGTGGCCTGGTGGTTACAGAAGCCAAATCTCACATACCTAACGGAGCAGCTGGAATCCCTACCTCTGAGGCTTGAAGAAACACATCAGGTATTGCCTCAAAGAAATGGAGAAATGAAGAGACTGCAGGTGACCACATCCCAATGGGGGAGAGCTTTTCCCTCTCCCTCTTGCTCTTCTCTGGAGAGGGCAAGCACTCTCTGACCTAAAAGGGAACAAAAAGCACCTCTAGCCCTATAACCTCCCACAACCACCACCAAATTTCTCTTCTGCTGGGTGCAACTTAGACCTCTGTCAATTATTTCCTGGAACCAGATGGCATAACAGTTATGTCACTGGACTCCCATGTAGTAGACCACAGTTCAAGTCCTGGACCTGGTGGCTTAAACTCACACCGGGCGCATGTGTGTGCGTGCCCAAGATTCTGAGAGGAGAAGGGATTGTGGCGTGGCCATCCCCCTGGGGGGTGATTTCTCATTTTCTGTCTCTGTCTTTCTAGCAAGCACTCACACTCTATAGCAAAAACCTCTCAAAAAAAAAAAAAAAATCCCACAGAAAAGTAATAAAATGCCCCTAACAGTTCCTCGACACTGGTAGAAATCTCCATTTATTATGGAGCATTAGTTAGGAGCCAATGAGATACTACCTGTAACTTTCAATTCTATGCTGAACTTATCGGTCCCCAATGAATAACCTGGCTTCCTTCTCGAGATACTTTCTTCTCACCTACATTCTCTTCAATCATTAAAAACTATAGAGAATACACATTCTTTGCCTAACTTCCCAGTCTGGATTCTCCACAGCATTTGTGGCTCTTCATTAATTCCTCTGTGGGATCATGGAGGTCCAAGCAACTAGGAAATTACTCAATATCAAAGGCCCATCACTTAAATCTTGCTGACCACACACACATACACACATACACACACACACAAAATTAAAGGAACAGTAATCATTCTAACACTCACCTGAAAACCCTAAAATTATGAGGGAACACAGATTTGTACCGTTCCTATCCAAGGGCTAGGAATTTAATCTGTACTCCCTTAAGCCATGCTCCTTGTGACTCTACACACTATGGAAACTTATCCAAGCTAGGATGACTTCTAGGCTGATTATTTTTTTCCTAGCAAAGAAGTGATACAAAATGGAATCCTAACACTGAATCCGATGAAAATAGAGTAAAAACACAGGGTCTGCCCCCAGTGCAGCAGTAAAGCTCTGGCAGAAGGAGCCAGGTCTCACATGACTGTCCAGGTTCAGGTCCCCTCCCAGCATCCTGATGGGGTGGAGAGCCGGGGAGAAAAGGTGGCAATATCACAAGGCCCTGATGGGGTTATTTCCCTCTCTCCTTGTCCCTGCCCCTTTTGCCGTCTCATCTATGTTTCTGCGTACATGTATCCTCTGCCCGTCTCACTATCTCTCATGTGGTCACACGTGTGTGTCTTCTAGCATAACAATAACAAAATAACTTGGGACCAGCAGATGGTATAACGGTTATGTCACTGGATTCCCATGTAGTCAACTACAGTTCGAGTCCCAGACCCAGTGGTTTAAAACTCAGTGCCCAAGATCCCAAGAGGGAAATGGAGGAGAAAGGATTGCAGCATGGCCATCCCACAACCCCTGGAAGGTGATTTCTCACTTTCTGCCTCTATGTCTTTCTCTGTCTCTCCCCAGTGAGTGCACATGCCCTATAGGAAAAGAAATTCCATCAAAAAGAAAGAAAATAACTTAGTCCCCAAAGTTTCCAAGTTGGGGGACCAGCAGTTAGCATGATGGCTATGTTGCTGGACTCCCATGTAGCCAACTGTGGTTCGAGTCCAGGACCCAAACTCACACTGGGCTCGTGGGCGGGCATGCCCAAGATCCAGAGAGGAGAAGGGATTGCAGCCTGTCCATCCCCCCTGGGGGGTGATTTCTTGCTTTGTCTGTCTTTCTCTGTCTTCCTAGAGAGCACATGCGCCCTAAGACAAAAACCTCTCCAAAAAAAGAAAAAACAAAGTTTCCAAGTTGGTAAAGAAATGGAAAACAGTGGACTTATCAAAATGCTAACCTTCCATTGAAATATATCATTATTTAAGTGATTTCTACTCATAGGCTTTTTAACTCTAGTACACGCAGTGACTGAACCACTGATGAAAATGAAAAAAACTGTCCCTGGGTTTCTTGTGGATACTTCCTAGAAAGTAGACCCTCAGGACAAGTGTCTGACTTCAAAATCTTGACCATCTGCCCTCTGACACTAATCACTTAACACCACATTTGAAAGATTTCCAGAGAACACGCGGCGGCAGCGGAGAAATCAGTACCAACCAGAAGGCAACCTAAACAGCAAACGAAATCGCCAGGAAATGAAAAGAAACTATCATGACTACTTTCACTAGAACGATACAGACTTAGAAAAACACCACCATCCAAAACGTCACAGGAGCGCTCTACGTCTGAAGCCTCCAGCAGCAAAAATCTATCGTCCTAAGGAAGAGGATCGGAGACAATCAAATGACCTCCCACTGTGTGCACAGTGACCAGTAAAACGGGGGGAAGGTAAACCGGTAAACGACCACAAGTGTCTGACGGGGCATTTCATGCTCTTCCGCGGGTACGGGAAACGCCGCATCCCAGAGCTCGGCCTCAGTTTCCCTACTCCCAAAACAGGCGAGCACATGACACTTCGCTCCCACACGCCTGCACCGACTCAGCCGGGCTCCCCGGGGCAACTGAGCGGAGAAGCTCGGAGCTTTCGAAGCGGGGAGAGAGAACAAGGGAGAAGGGGTCAAAGCGCCAAACGCACCACCAGTTCCTGGAAAGCGATCTGCCCCAGACACTGGGGGTGCCGACACCCGCCCCAGCCCCAGCAACTTCTTCCTAACGAACCAAACGGAGAAACCCCAGCTCCTCTCGCTCAGCTCCGGGCCGCCCTCCGGCCGCGCCCCCGAGCTCGGCCCACCGCCCCTCCTCGGGCCGGGTCTCGGCGCCGGCCCACTCGCCCACCCGCCCGCGCCAAGGTCTTCCCAACCCCGCGGCGGAAGGATGCCGGGCCGGGCCTCCCAGGCTCCTCCCGGGCCTACCTGCAAGGCGGGCGGGGGCTCGGTTTGCAGCCCAGACGCTGGGCTGAGTCACAAACAGGAGAAGGAAGAGCCAGGAACGAAGCCGGGGGTCCGCTCTACCGACCGGCGGGAGAAAGCGGCCTGAGCCCGGGGCCTCGCGGAAAACTCAGCCCTCGACCCGGCGCCGCCACCGCTCTGGAGACATCAAGCAAGAAGACGGCGCAAAAGATGACCGAGTATCCGAACGCCCCAGACATCAAAGGAGGAGCGCGCATTGAATCGTTCAAGGGACAGCAGCAGAGCGCCGAAAAACAGCTCCGCTCCCAGTCGAGGTCCGGCTCCTCTCCAAGGCGTAAATAAACAAGCCCAGATCACAAATCCGGCAGCGAAGTGGCCGGTGCTGCCATTTTCTCTGTGGATCCCGCTCAAGTTGTCCAGTGAACTGTAGGTCTTTGTGAGCGAGTTGAGGATGAAATCATAGCTCAGAACACTTGTCTAACTGTAGATCAGCAACCCCCATCTGGAGTCCCAATACTATCCCAACTGAGCAATCACTTCACCTCTTTTGACCTTTAGCTTCCTCACAGAACCGGAAAGTGAATGAAAGATTCAGGAGAGGAAGAACATCCACGCTGAGCAACAAAGTGAACAATCTCTTTTAAAAAACAAAGAACCAAACCAAACGAAACAAACAAACAAAAACAAACAAACAAAAACAAACCAGCAGGTGGAGCATGGTTAAGGTGCTCCACTCTCATATGGTACACCAGGGTTCAAGTCCTGGATCGGGCAGTTTGTTTTTTCGCTTTCTCTCTCTGATCTGTAGGAAATTTTTAAAAATAATAGTAATAAATAAGCTTAAATAAAAATAAATAAACCTCCAATTTAACTCCCACAGTGAAGACCAAGAGAAGGTGGGAAAACACAAGTTTATGTAGTCTGACCTTAAAGCAAGAAGGAAAAAAGTACACAGATGACATTTTTCTTTTCTTGCACAGGTCTAGGCTATGGAGCAGGGGGAATTAGTCCATGACTTGATTTGTGTCTCCCCACAATGTCCAAGCTCTATTTACATCGGCTGTCCTAATGTGCAGCAGGCACAGCTGGGGAAGGACAGGGAGAAGGGAGCCTGCTCTTAGCTCAGTCACCTGCGCCACACCACAGGGGGCTCAGCAGGGTCCTCTGGAAGCCTCACTGGACTGGTCTGACATCAGGGCTTTCTGGGAAGTCCCCCTGCAACTCGGCACAGCAAGGATCCACAGCCAAGTGTCCTTGGGACAGCCTAGGTGCCCAAAGCCTGTTTCCACAAGGCAGGGTCCCCTGACTCCAGCTTCAAAGAAAGGAGCTGCTTCTACCATAGTAGGTGCTGGAGCAGAGCAGCTGCTTAGTTCCCACACAGGAATGGCCCACAGCCCGAGAGCATGGTTTATATGCCTCTTTTATCATGGCCATATATTCATTTTTATTTAAAGAATTATTTATTTACTTTTATTTATTGTTGTTGTTGTTTAATTTGACTAGATTTAGATAGAGAAAGAGAGAAAGGGAAAGTGAGAAAGCAAGCTACCAAGACCGGGACTCAAACCACAGTAAGTCATGGGAGAGTTCAGCACCTTAACCACCATGCCATCTGCAGGCCCCATGGCCATATACTCTTATCATTGTGACCACTTAGGTTTATGATGGCTTGTCCTGCTCGTCATGGCTTGTGGGATAGCAGTTGATCTGAGTGGTTCAGGCAGGTTGTTTATGAATGTCAGCAAAAGCAGTTGGGTGTGGTATTTGACATAAGTGAGGCCATTTTGAGCAGTGCTCCATAGTAAAACCACAGGTGTGCTTCTGGTGTAATGATTAAAAGTCTCTTTAGGGTTCAGAACCTGATAAAGTGTTGCCATTTTCATCAGCACAATGGGGTCTCTGAGGTTTCTTAGACAAATAAACATGCTCAGCAAGAATATGAGCACATTCATATGTGCTACCTCAGGGCCTGCAGGTGGCGTGGTGGTTAAGGGTATTGGACTTCCACATGACCAACCATAGTTTGAGTCCCAAACCACCGGCAGCTTGGTTTCTCTCTCTCTCTCTCTCTCTCTCTCTCTCTCTCTCTCTCTCTCCTCTCTCACTCTGTCCCTCTCTGGTCAAATAAAGTTAAATTTAAAAATTATGTAAAAAATACATATCTATATGTGCTACCTAGTTTCAACTCAATAAATCACATGAGCCTGCTCCATGATGGCACATGCTCATAGAAGCTGCAGTCCGGGGGGACCAGCAGTTAGCGTAATGGCTGTGTCACTGGACTCCCACGTAGTCGACCACGGTTCGCATCCCAGACCCGGTGGCTTAAAACTCACGCCGGGCACGTGTGTGTGCGTGCCCAAGATCCCAAGAGGAGAATGGAGGAAAAGGGATTGCAGCATGACCATCCCCCCCGGAGGGTGATTTCTCGCTTTCTGTCTCTCTCTGTCTGTCTGACGAGCGCACACGCCCTATAGCGAAAACCTCTCCAAAAGAAAAAAAAAGAAGCTGCTATCTGGGAGGCTGAGGTTTGGGGAAAGGAGATAGTGTAGCGGTTATCGCTAGACTCCCACATGGCCGATGGCAGTTTGAGTCCCCGACTTGGTGGCTTGGAACTTATGCCAGGTCATGTGTGTTTAAGCCCAAGATCCCAGAAGAATGGAGAAAAAAGAATTATGGCACGGCCATCCTGCCTGGTGGGTGATTTCTCACTTTCTCTCCACTGTCTCTGTCTCTCTGGCAACTGTACACACCCTAAGGCAAAAACCTCTTCAGGGGACCAGCAGATGATGTGGAGGTTAAGGTGCTGGATACTCCCACGTGACTGACCATAGTTCGAGTCCCTGTCCTGGTGGCTTGCTTGCTTTCTCTCTCTCTCTCTGTCTCTCTCTCTCTGGTCAAATTAAAAAATAAATTGAATGAATATTTTTTTAAAAAAATTAAATAAAAATAATTCTTTAAAAAAAGGAGAGAGAGAGGCCCAGGTCTGACTCCTGACCCACTCTGAAAGTCATGCTTGGTGGCATTTGTCTATAGTTTTGGTTGACTCAAAGAGTCTGAGACAAGAAGATTATGAGAGAGTGAGTCTAAAAACAGAAGTCACTCATGAGCCAGCTCCATGGCCTGATGGTTAAGGAAGCAGGACCCCACGTGGCAGCTATGCAGTGAGAATCCCAAATCTAGCCAGGCACGTGTGCACAGGTGCCCAAAACCTCAAAAGGAAGGAGAGGAAAAGGAGGAGTTGCAGCATGACCATTCCCCACGAGAGGTGCTTTCTTCTCTCCCTCTCTCTGTGCCCTCCAGGAATCAACAAATGAATCACGCAGATCACTGCACATGTGGATGACAAGTGTAAGCAATCCTAGTCTACGTCCTTCTCCTTAGGAGGCACGAGACTCAGAGAGGAAGAGTACGATAAGAAAACAAAATAGCCCAGCCCTTAAAGAATTTATGATCTGGGACCAGCAGTTGGCGTAATGGCTATATCGCTGAACTCCCATGTAGTCGACTGCGGTTCGCATCCCGGACCCGGTGGCTTAAACTGACGCTGGACATGTGTGCATGCATCCCCAAGATCCCGAGAAGAAGGGATTGTGGTGTGGCCATTCCCCCTGAGGGTGATTTCTCACTTTCTGTCTCTCTGTCTCTCTCTGTCTTTCTGGCAAGTGCACACACCCTATATCAAAAAAAAAAAAAAAAAACTCTCAAAAAATAAATAAATAAATAAAGCATTATTGGGACCAGCAGTTAGCGTAATGGCTATGTCGCTGGACTCTCACGTAGTCGACCGTGGTTTGAGTCCTGGACCCGGTGGCTTAAACTCACGCTGGGCGCGTGCTCATGCGTGCCCAAGATCCTGAGAGGAGAATGGAGAAGAAGGGGTTGCGGCGTGGCCATCCACCCTGGGGGGTGATTTCTCACTTTCTCTCTGTCTCTGTCTTGCTGGTGAGCGCACATGCCCTAGAGCAAAAACCTCTCCAAAGGAAAAGAAAAAAGGAGGATTTGATTTAACTTAATTTCTTTCTTTATTTATTTTAATTTGACCAGAAAGGGACAGAGTGAGAGATTGTGAGGGAAAATGAGAAAGCAAGCTGCCAAGTCCGGGACCCCACTCGCAGTAGTCCATGAGGGAGTCAAGCGGGTGCAGTGCCTTAATCACCAAGCCATCTGTTGGCCCCAAGTTTTTTTTGTTTTGTTTTGTTTTGTTTATGTATTTTATTTGACCAGAGAGGGATAGAGCAAGAGCAAGAGAATGAGAGAGAGAGAGAGGGAGAAAGAAAGCAAGGAGAAAGTGAGAAAGCAAACCACCAGGTCCAGGTCCAGGACTCGAACCGGACATGTGGGACTCCAGCACCCTTAACCACGACACTACCTGATGGCCCCTCCCAGTGTGAGCTTGAAGCCACCGGTTCAGTAAGAACAGCGGTAGACTACGTGGGATTCCGTGATGTAAGGACATCTGCTGGTCCCCATCTCTAGGTCTCTTTCCTTCTTTCCTTTTCCCTGTCCTCCTTTCTCCTCCCCTCTTCCCCCTTCCTATCTTTCTTTCTGCTTGATTAAAAATAATTCTTGGGGCAAGCAGGTTGAATGGTGGTTAATGGGCTGACCGACCATGTTTCAAGTCCTAAACCAGACAACTTGAACATCACACAGGGCGCGTGTGCGTGCATACCCAAAATCCCAGGCGGAAAATGGAGGAGAAAAGATTAAGGTGTGGCCATGCCCTGGAGGGTAATTCCTCACTTTCCTTCTCACTGTCTCTGTCTCTCTCTTTTGGGTGCACACACCCTATGGCAAAAACCTTAAAAAAAATTCTGTATGGATATTTACAAGAACTGCATTGGGGGAACCAGCAGTTAGCATAATGGCTATGTCGCTGGACTCCCACGTAGTCGACCGCGGTTCACTTCCCGGACCTGGTGGCTTAAAACTCACACTGGGCGCGTGTGCGTGCGTGCCCAAGAGCCCGAGAGGAGAATGGAGGAGAAGGGATTGCGGCGTGACCATCCCCCCTGGGGGGTGATTTCTCGCTTTCTGTCTCTATGTCTCTCTCTGTCTGTCTGGCAAGCACACGCGCCCTACAGTGAAAATCTCTCCAAAAAAAAAAAGAACCGCATTGGAATAAGAACAAATTAAACATCTGTGTCTTAGAAGCATATTTTCAAGGGCTTTCTCAGACTTTCATAAGTATTGCTATAATGTTTGTTCGTTTATATACTTATAAATGAATTTTTTAAATCCCCTAAAGGGCCTGGCAAGTGGCGTGGTGGCTAAGGCACTGGACACTCCCATATGGCCGACTACAGTTCGGGTCTAGACTTGCTTTCTCACTTTCCCTCTCTCTCTGGTCAAATTTAAATAAATGAATGAATAAATAAAATTGAATAAATAATTTTAAAAAACAACTCATGCTGCATTGGGGCCTGCAGCTGGTGTGGTAGTTAAAAGTGCTGAACTCCCACATGGCTGACCATAGACTTGGTGGCTTGGCTTTTCACTTTCCCTTTTTTCTCTCTTACCAAACTGGAAAATAATAATAAATAAAGTTAAAT